CCCCCCCCCCCCCAAAGCTTCAAGGGCTTGGCAGCCGTGCTGAGCCCCTGGAAACTGTCATACTCCTGTTTTTACAATGGTTCTCCCCCACCCTGAATATACCCTAATGCAGAGCCATCACCATTTTCAACACAGTACCTTCTTGGCTCAAACAGCACTCAAACATGTAGAAAAAGAGTCATGAAAACAATAATTGTATGCTGTTAGATGTGATAAAATTAAAATTAGGTATACTACCTGCACATCTGTAGTGTTCCACCCATAGTGACACTCAACAATGCATCCTCTATGACAAAGATTTCACTATATTACATGTTCAGTACTGATCGCAGGCAGTGCACTTTTTTGGACGTGGTACCCGCAGGCAAATTGCGGGCAGTGGATGCAGGCAAAACCTATTCCACAGTGCCTGCAAGCTAGATTTGCTTATGACTTTTTTTGGCATGTAGTATTGTACAGATAGCGGGTGCCACAGGCGACGTGGGCTAACTGCTTGCAGAGAACATATCCACATTAAATACAACATCACTGTTTCTGAAGAAGTTACTACTATAGTGCAGTACTTCACATTTTATAATTTTTAAATTAAAAATTGGCCTATAATATATTAAGATATCGGAAAATAATTTATGTATACTTTATAAAACAATTAGGTTTGTCTCTACAGATGTTCATTTTATGCATATGTATGTATTGACCTACGTGTATGTATTGACATATATGACGTATCGATGTAATATATAGGTAGGCTTACATAAATAATACTCTTAGCGATCTAATTAATTTGTCTGACAGTCTTAATATTATTTTTTTGTGATCATGTGGATGATTCTAATACAATTTACCTTATTAGGCATATCTGAAAATGTAAGCTTTAGGTCAAAATTATGAACCAAATTATGTTTTTATACAAATAGTCCTTGCATATCGTGTGCTTAGTCCAGGCACTGTGGGCACCCCAGACAGCTTTCAATCAATATTGTTCTTTTTGAAAATCTTGGCCATTGGCAGCACCGGCTGGCTTTGCCCATGCAGGCAGTTGATCTATGGGGAACACAATGCCCTTGGGCAAAGTGCAGCAACAAAGTGCACTGCCAACGATTGGTACTGTACATCACAAGCTTATACTCAACTCAAAAAGTATTAGATATTCGCTACTAAATGAGTTAAGCTCTGATCACACTATATACAGTATATATTCACTTTATTCACTTGTTCACTTAGCTACTACAGTAGTAGAGGGCCTACAAACAAGTGCCAGGAACCAAGGAGGCCAAGGCCTGTAATTAGGCTCCCGGACTAATCTAAATTATTTAGATTAAACTTAAGTAAAATAATAGTAATAATAATAATAATAATTAATAATAATAAAAATGAAAAACGGCAGAACAATGCACAGAACAAACAAGCCAAGCCGGGAAGAACTGGACAATAAACAGACTATCAAATTTTACGTGACAAATTTGTGTGATGCGTCCATATGGGCATGATGTCATATAACACCCAAATATGTACATATCACTTTCTTTTTTTTTTTTGGTCACATACAATTTGAGCGTTGATAGAGCTTAAAAAGTGTTCAGTTCAAACATTATTATTTGTTATATTCTTGTTTCTTACCTTCTGTGTTATCTTGAAAGTCTAATCCAATTCTTTCATCAGATTCTGTTAATGAATTAGTTATTAATTGTATGACTTTTCTGAAGAATTGTACAGATTTACAAAATATAGATTGAATTTTAAAGACGGCTGTCCTGTGGTTAAACAACATAACTTGAATTTTTCACTTTTTGTGAAAAATAGCTCTAGTTAAAGTTTGCATGTTTGCAACTTGGCAATAAATTGTCGTACCCTTCTGAAATTTTGCAGGAATATATATATATAGATTCAGATTCAGATTCATATTTATTCACACAATGGGGGCTTTGAACTATTAGACATTATAAATTTTAATTACAACCTTTCAATTAACTACAACATTATTAACGATATTTACAGATATATTGTTTTATGTCAAAAACATGTTAGGTGCAGTATTGTCGCAAGCGCGACATATATTTTAGAATTTTTCACACTTGGGGCAATTATGCATTATCTAGCTTGTCCATACATCTTTGTTAAGGATTATTGATATGATAACACCATCAACAAGTTGATATTGCTGTGCCAATCTCCATCAACTCAAAATAATTTGAAACGCCCCTGATAAAATCAAAACAAATAATTACTTACCATATGATTTATGATGAATCTCAACCAGAAATATGTAAATAATTGCTCCAGCAAATGCACCAGTTATCGGTCCTAAAACTTCAATTGGCCACCAGGTATGGTCATATGGCCAATGGGAAAGATAAAATAAAAATTAACACAAAACAAATAATAGTTCACTTTAAAGTAATTTAAGAAAACAACACTCTTTCGAAACCTTTTTTAATAATTTAGAAGTAATTGCCGATTGTGCAAAAGTATGTGAAAATTTTATGAGTAAACCAGTGTCATATTCATGTTGTTCATTTACACAATCACTGAAAAAAGTCATAGAGATGATTAGCATGTACACAATGTATATCCAAATGTAATGATAATATACAGATGCTATAGAGATTCCAGGTATTCAACCTTTTAAGCTGGGGGCCAGTTCCAATCTGCTGAGACCAGCAGTGCACCAACATAAATTGCGTACAGTACTTCCATTTTTTCTGTCAGCCCCACCCATTTTTTTTGGATAATGGTGGATTCAAAATAGAAGGGGCCAGGGATGAACTTTTACAGAGTCAGAAAGTGTATTATTATGGCACCTCTAGATGGTCAGAAATGGTACTCTCAGACTTAAATTGACTATAATATTCTTTTCTTCTCCATTATATTTTAGAAATAAAAAAAAAAAACAAAAAAACTTGCATTCCAGGCTCTTCTACCCTGCCACTAGAAATTTTCCTACTACAAAAATATCCACTTACCAGTGGTTTGGGTTCATGTGAGCAAATTTTTAACATAGATACCTCTACATTCCAGAAAATGGCAATTTAGAAGACTCAAAAATGAGTTTTCAAAGTAGTGTTTTCAACAGAATAACATTCCCCCAAGCCTGCTGGTGCCGCAAATGGTTAGACATCGCATCATATCAGTGGCCCACCTAGTCCAAGTCTCCCCCTCCCCATGTCAATACACTACGCCACTAGATAAGAGTGAGCTACACTCCAAAAAAGCCACACTCTTTCTTGTAAAAAATGTTAGAGTAGGGGCACCTAGGTAATGTTTCTATAAACAGAAACTTTTTATAAAAATCGGGTGGAAAATTATTTATTTTTAGCAAATGTGCGTGGGCCGAATCAAAATTTTCGGCGGGCCAGAGTTGTCCCGCGGGCCGGGGGTTGATTATCAGGGATATAGATTGACATTCTTTTTTATCTAGTTTTTTTCTTCTCTTTGTAGCTTTCTCATTTAATTCAGGTTAAATATATTACAAATAAACTAAAATGAAATAAAATATAACAGATTTACATTTCAAGATTGAATGTTTGAAGAAATTAGACCATACTATCAAATGTTATGTGACAATGCGATATGCAGTGGCAGATCCAGGGGGGTTCAGGGGGTTTGGACGAATCTCCCTGTGATGAAACATAACAAAATACTACTGGATCTTCGGCTTACAAAATGCATGCTTACCACCTAGGCATAGGTTGGCAGATCTGACAAACTAGATTTTTCCCAACTAGCCTTCAATAAATAAAATTAAAAACACATTTTTGGTTCAACGTCGTAATAATTTATGTATGAAAGTGCGTTTTTCAGGCCTATTGGCTCATCGATCCATAGAAGAAAGACTACATATCCAACTACTGAATACTGTTGGAATATAATAATATATTGCCTTGTCTTTGATTTTTTTTCTCTATAGGCCAAAGAATGAGATAAAATTACCTTGAATTTTAAAGGACTTAGGTCATTAAAAAAACACCTCAAAAGTTGGGAAAGCTCATTTCAGGCCATCTAGGAATAAAATTTTTCCCGGAAGAAAGGCCCCACATCCCCTTTCAGTTTTTTGTTTTCTTGGAAACATTTTGAACCTCCCTCTTTCAAATCCTGGATCAACCGCTTGATTTTAATGTACAGTACTGCCTAGCATGGTGCCCTAGAGTGAAAAATGTCCCACTACACAAGATTCAACACTTACTTCCAGTAATCTGAGCATCCACAAAAATAAGCTGCTATAATCCGTGGGGGAATATCCTGCGCAAGGTTCAGGAAGCAATATGTATTGTGATTGGTTGTCAGTCCAACAGAAAACAGTATTGTGCCAATCAAGAACGGCTGCACATACCTTGGTGGGTTTACACTACGTTCATCGATTATTGACATCACTCCCATCATCAGTAATCCAGATTTTACAAAAAACTGTTCAAAAACAGACAAGTGTGTTAAAATATTTCGGCACACGGTACATGCATTGGTGACTCAAGAAATTTGTCGACAGGAGATCTAACAGTAGGGTCCAAAACAAGGGGCTTCCTAGAGCCTCGGTCAGGGTCCCAGATATCACTGGCACAAACAGCTCCTCAAAAAAAATATGACAGTCATATACCGAAAATACAGTACTGACCAAGGAAGGCAAGAGTGTCGATTGAAATTACGATACAAGTTACCGGCAGTACTGAAGGAGGTGTTGCCACACGATCATTCAAATTTATTTACACATTATAATCAAACCACTCTCTCAGAGATAGCAACAAAATCAACTCAATAATATTCTAAGGTTCAGGCACGCAATTGAATTGTACACTAATACTAGGGCCTTTAAATCCATAAATTTCTGATGATAGTGACTGACCAAAATGATGTTTTTAATAAAAAATATATGACCAAACGAGTAGAATATAGAGTTGGGTCGAGATTGGAGCTAATTTAAGCATCAGAACATAAGCCTTGTCCTGAAAAATGTCTTGTTGCCAAGCAACTGCAGACGATATGTGGAATACTGTAGAGATCATTTTTACACATGGTTCTTGTACTCTCAGGCCACAGTTGAAAACAAATAGAGATAAAAAAGAAAAATAGAAATAAAAACAGTGGTGGAGCAGATGAAAACATATACTGTACTTACAGTTTGGAGGTTAGCAACTGTAGCAGGTTCATTACTAGTAAAAAAAATACTGCTAATACTGATAACTCCATCCGCTAGTTTCATAAACAAGCTTTTCACTTCGGGTTTCTCTGTACCCTCTATATATAAAACAATTCAATCAATATACATATATTTAATAAGGTCTTACATATTATGTCGTGTAAGCATATATAAAATACTTTGTGTATATATATATATATATATATATATATATATATATATATATATATGGTGTATGGCTGGGGATAATTTTCTACCAATTCAGAAATACTCTATGATGGTTCGTTTATTTGTTCGTATGAATCACAGGAGCTATGCAGATGGTTTTTAATGTAGCTTCCTTATAACAATAATTGCGATTCTAGTTGCTGTTGTTAATTGACTAGAACATTTGCAGCACGGTCACCGACGAGCAGGTTAAGAGCATGACCCCTCATTTATGCTCCCTGGTGAAGAGCGGCAAACGTAAGCAAAGTGTCTGGCCCAAGGACACAAGTAATGCGATGAGCGTCGGTCTCAAACTCCCAATATCACGAGCAGAAGTCCAACACCTTACACACTGCGCTACACGCTCCCACAATGATGGTGTCCGCAGGATATAGTATTTTTACTCTAGAGGGCTTTAATGCAAAGCAACAAGAGGTTCAAAGATACACATGGTGTTATTTATAATAATAATAATAATAATAATACAGAAATTTATATAGCGCCTTTTGCCAAAGGATACAAGGCGCTTAGAAAAGGTTTATTGTAGGAAGAGGATTATTTAGGAAATAAGTGAGCTTTTAAGAGTTTTTTGAAGACTTTAGTACTACAAGCATTTCGGATGGAAATAGATTATTCCACAGTTTTGGAGCAGAGGAAGAGAAAGATTTATCACCAGCAAGTTTGTTGGATTTGGGAACAGATAGACAGGAACCGGAAACAGAACGGAGAGAATAGGTAGAGATTAAGAAAATCAACAGGCAGGAGATATAACTAGGATTTATTATTATTTATAAAAGTGATATGATTATATTACCGTAATTAATGGAATAAATTAGTGCTGCTCCTAGCAAAGCACCAAGGAACTGTGCAAGTACGTTGGCAAACAGCTCTTTCCACTTCATTTTACCAAGTACTTTAAACACAATTGTTATAGCAGGGTTTAGGAATCCACCTGCAACAAGAAAGAAGATTATTGAAAGAAGATTATTGAAAAATATATTTAAAAACAAAAATGTTAAATAAGACTTTCAGCGGGAAGTTCTTCTACTGGTTGGATTTTCGACATTGCTCCGTCATTTCAAAAAAATGATTGAATAAATCTATTACCAAATCTAATTCTAAAGCTCTGTCCTGATTATCTGACAAAAAAATGTTGTATGCCCATATATAGTCATGATGTGCCTATATATGGTCATGATGTATATAAAATAAACTTTATTCAATAATAAATCAAACATAATGTACATTTCTGATTCAAGATTGGAAAGGAAGCTCAAATAAAGCAAAGCTTTTAAGCCGAGACCCTTAAAAATAATGAATGCATAGAATTAAAATTTAGAAAACACTATAATTATCTTATCAAAATAACAATAGGGCTAAACAAGTAATAAATAAATTACAAAAAAAAAAGAAAGAAAATAAATAAATAAAAAGAAAAAAAAACATCAAAAAAATATTTACAAGATAAGTACTTGAATCAGACATACTATATAAACCTAAAGATTGTGGTCTGATAGACTATAGTGATATTTTTGCAATGAAAAAATTAGTTATAATTATTTTTTTTAAATATGTAAATTTGATAAGCCTAGACCATATACTGTACCAAGGATGTGCCTTGTGTGTGGATGTGAGGACTAATTAAATGGATTTAAGGGCAAACACCCAACACCAGATATTTTTTTTTTTAAGGGATCTGAATGAAACTTTCGGGAAAGTTCAACCATGTTACATGGAAGAAATTATTATGTTTTGGTGACGATGCAGTTTAGGTGTAAATTTGCGGGTCATTACAATTTCTAATTTCCCAGGCCTATATCTCAAAAATCTTATCAATGGATCTAAATGAAACTTTCCATAATAGTTTGTCATGTTGGTTACAATCCAGAGTAGGATGTGGATATGAGGACCATTCAAAGAAAATGTCCAATGCCAGATATACCAAAAACTGACCTAGTGATTTGAATGAAACTTTCTGAAAAGTTCAACCAAGTTAAAAGGAAGAAATTATTTAATACTGGTGACAATCCAGATTCGGTTGTGAATTTGAGGCTCATTTAAAGCGCTAACATCCCAGAACTAAATATCTCAAGAACTCACCAATGGATCTAAATGGAACTTCACAGTATGGTTTGTAATGGTCAAATAAAGAAGTGATTAAATTTTGGTGAAAATCCGCACTAGGGTGTGGATATATGAGGCCCATTCAAAGGAAACTTTCTGAAAAGTTAACCAAGTTATAAGGAAGATATTAATTAATTTTGGTGACAATCTAGGTTTGGGTTTGAACTTAAGGGTCATTTAAAGTGCTACTGTCCCAGAGCTGATATCTCCAAAAACCTCTCCATAGATCTAAATTAAACTTTCTAATCTAGAATAGTTTGTCATCGTCCAATGAAAAATAATTAAATTCTGGTGACGGTCCGGACTAGGGTGTGGATATGAGGACCATTTAAAGAATATTAAAGGACTGGTGATTAAACTACCATACTCGCGCGAATAAGCGCGAGGGCGCTTAAAATATTTTTTTGCACTTTCTGAGGGGCGCTTATTCAAACGGGGCGCTTATGAAAACAGAGTGGAAACTAAGGGGGCACTTATGGATATAGATGAAAATCAAGGGGTTCTTTGAAATTAATAAATTCAAGAGGCACTTTTTGAATGAAAAAGACATTACAAATGGTGGTTAAGCGGAAAAGAAATCCTTCAGAGAACATGGCTCATGACAAGAATGCGTGAATATTTACATAACAGCAAAATAGCAGGTGCAATTAGTGGGGGTGGGTAGTGGTTAGCTTGTTGGCCATCGGCCGAATGAGATTAGAAGGATGGCAGGATCATTGTATTTTTTCTTGAAAACTCAGATGAGAATGTGCTAAAGGTCGGAAAAAGAAAAAGAGGAGTAGGACTAGACATAGACAAATATGTAAAAACTAGAAGTAAAGTTGGAAATTATACCGTCTGTCCAGGGATCGGAGCTCTCATTTGTCAAAAGAGAAATATCCTCATTCTGATATTGACCTAAGAAGAATGTGTTTCCACTCTGCAGCTCAAATCATGCCAACAACCACAGTCCCAGGATTGATTGGATTATTGACTTGCTACAAAAATAATCTTATGATATTATTGAAGGGGCACTTATTCAAATTAGAAGGGGGCGCTTAAGGAAATTTTCACGTTAGGTGGGGCGGTCACTCGAGAGGGGCACTCATTCAAATGGGGTGCTTATTCGCGGGAGTACGGTATATAAACGCAAGTTGCGTTTACTACTCAAAGTAAATGAACTAAAAATGAATTGACATTCACCCTCGCTATTAACACTCTGACCGCCAGGGGTCTGAAAATATAGTATCAGCCACCGCCAAACTTTTTAGCAAATTTTAACACTTTTCCGAAGCTCGTTGAGAGTGCTTATGTGATGGGATTGACATGTAGTGAATACTACTAAAATTACAAACATTTTAGCTTTACAATGGTACCAAACACTTTATTCTAATCACAAGTTGTGACCAGTAACAGTAAAATGAAAATAACTCACTTTTGGCGACTTACGCAATTTCGCACAACAAAGCTGAGATAATCACAATTTCATGAAAGTAAATCAATACCGCTCTACGCCAATGTAAACAAACAAATAGTGAAATACTTACGGTCCAGACTTAATAGTGTTCAATTTGTTAGTACATGTCGGTAATTACCCAATCTATCAGAATCCGTAAAAAACCTAAAACACAGATTGATTGAATGTACGTTGTTTTCGTACCAATAATCGGTGGGGATTCCTAACGATGGGCGTGTCCCGCCCATCGGCTCAGTGTCATGTCCACTGGCTTCCATTTTAGACAGCCTATTTTGTTTTTCTGGCTAAACCCCTGGTAGATAATCCCAGCAGGGTGGACCTACATGGGATCCCTAAAACTGAGTGCAAAATTGAAAAATTTATTCAAATTTGTAATTTTTCACCGAAAGGTCCACTGATTAATCTCAGATAAGAAAGTATAATACATACTCCAAGTATTGAAATACACGCCATCGTGTTGGGATTCAATATTTCGACATTAATTATGTCATCATCAGTAATTTTTATTTACATGTTTTTTTTAATTTGTTTTTTAAACCATATAACGAGGGTTATGCCTTTATCAGCGAAGTATCTTAATGAGGCTTAGGGAGTGGAGTTGTTTTTAGTCATGAGACTGACATTGGAACTGAACCTGGGGACCCTGGCATTAGAAGGCAAGTACCCAGTAGCTTGATATACCAGATCTCACTGGAATAGTTTATCCTGACTGGAAATCCCAGCTGTAGCACGCAGTTTTAAAACTTACCATTTTCAATGCACATACATAAACCAAATGTATATCCAAGCGCAAGTCGCAGGTTTATGGTCATATAATTACTTTCAGAATCAGTCGCAGATTTCTTTGGTTGATAGCATCCTATCAGCTAGAAAATAAAAGAAAAAATACAAATCAGCTCTGCAATTCATAGACAAGGACTTCATTCCATTTCACTCCATTCCCAGATAATACAGCAATAAAAATAGGCTCCCAGCGGCAGCATGTGTCTACCAGGACCAATTTCAAAAGATTTTAGGCGATGCCTGACGACACACACTTTGCTCTTGTCGGACCCATCGGGCAAGTCCTGGCGCCACCCCTCATAATTATTAGGCCCTAGCCTACTAATCTCTGTCGACAACCTAGCCTAGCTACACTAGATAGGGCTACGAGGCGATGAAGTACTGTACGACTGACTGGCAGAACAATGACAGATACCAGAAGGCAAAACTAAAAGTAATGTAAACTGAAACTCAATGTAAAAAACAGACTCAAAATTAAATGTAAAAACTAATTTTCATCTAACGTATTTAATAATACTAATACTACTTATTAGTAACACATTAAAATCAGTAGCTCTACTACCTAGTACAGTAGTTGAAAATCGGATAGAAAAATGATTTATTTTTTAGCAATGTTATGCGGGCCAGATCAAAATATTTGGTGGGCCAGAGTTTGCCTGCAGGCAGGGGGTTGAATATCGGGGCTTAGGCCTACAATTGTCAAATTTAGTAAAATGAACCATCTACTGTAGGCCTACAGGTTTCTACAATACATAGAACTTACATTTGATATCGCAGAACAAATTCTCCCCAACAGTTACGTAACGTCAACTTTACAGTCAAAAAAGAAGCCTATGGGCTTTATTTCAATATAGTACAGTTCATACACTGTACATGAATTTAAAAACAAAAACAAAATAAATTAAAAACATGCTTGGTACACAGTAGTTTTAGGTGATTTAATGCCGGTTATGATACAGAAAGATGTTACAGTGGCCTTACAGTATTTATTGTTGTAGTACAAATTCCTAAAATTTACAGCATTCATTTTAAATAAACAAACCCTCTAAATACTTCGCAAAGTAGCATCGAAAAGAAGCCCATGTATATAAGGAGTTGAGAAACAAAGTTTAAACTTTCTACTTTACAATGATGATGCGTGTAGTATATGTGTACTGATATAAATTTCATAATTAATATAAGTGTCCACGGGATCATCTGGTCGGTCAAAGGGGTATTATAAGGGTCAATGGTCCTGCAACTGTGTTCGCGACCCCATCATACCTTCATTATTGCTCTAATTACATTGCAAACTTTTATATATGTAGTAGTACGAGCATATTTATCACAGTCCTGCGAAACAAATGCTGCAGGGAATTTTTTTTTTTTTTTTTTTGGAGGGGGGTGGCGCATATAACATTCTAATAAAATAAGCTTTTATTTGAATGCATTTCCCGAAAGATGGACCAAATTTCAGTGTATGTAGCAATTTTCAACTTTTTATCCTAAATTTTAAAAGGGCATAACTTAAAAACCACTTAGAAATTGGAGCTGAAATTTTGGATTCTTTCTTTTGACATATAAAGGTATTATTAGATTTTTTTAAAGGAAAATCCAAGAGAGGTCACATGAGAACTTTCAATCAATCAGTACAATACTAAAACAAGAAAACACAAAAATGAGAAAATAAAGTATTGTTTTGCAAAAAAACAGAAAAAAAGTTAACTAGATTTGAACTCGTCACTGAGGACGAGTTAGGTGATCCGCCGCACTTTGACCCACGAGGAAGTGTGCGCGTGGCGGATTGAACAATAATTCAATGCTGATAATGGCAAAATACGCTAATTTAGTTTGTTAAAAAAAAATTTTGAGCATTTTAAAAGATTTACTCATGCGTACGCGCACGTCATAACGCACGTGCGCATCTTAATGTCACTGGTGTCTCCTGATATGAGATATATATGTATCAATTTTTCATTGACAAACGCCTGTTGTTGAAAAAGTAATGATCATTCATAGTATTTATCATATAAAAATTCAGTTTTTTTTACTTCAGGATGGCAATATGTTGACGTCACAATGTCCGATCAGCTATTATGATATAAAATCATATCTACAACTCATGTGCTTTTAGAATATGTAATAAAAATTGGGGGTCACCTTTCATTTCGAAATGGCAATTGGTTAGGCTGATATGATCGATAATGTAAAAACGCAAAATTGCGCGTAGATGACGTCACGCATAACTGCACACTTTGAAAACCTTATTGTGAATATTCCAGGCCAAGCTAAATGTTTCTTGAAACGTGCATGTATGAATCTCATGCCAATTTTTAGATATCGTGCTAACAAGAAATGGGGAGAACCTAGAATGAAAAAAAAAGAAGATTTCGGACAATAACAAGAGGTTATCTGCTAGCGGAGCGGATCACCAATAAGGATTATGAATGAGGACCACCATCATAGGATTATCAAAAGTGGGTGGGGTACAGTTGAGGTTAGACATCCTTAAAATTACAAAAAAATACATAAAGTACATTAAATACTTAATATTCTTTTAATTTGATAAACTTTATTCTTAAAAATAAAATAATAATGGATATGATAAATAAAGAGCAACCTTCCATTTCTGATCATTTCTCATGGGCCCCAACCGCATACAAAAATTTGAACAAAATCCGAGAGAATGATGTTTTTTGGTGATCCGCTTCTCGAGCGGATCACCTCTTGTTATTGTCAGAGATCTTCTTACGTCATCATTTTTTTTATTCTACCTTTCCTTCCGTTTCTGTTCGCACGATATCTCAAAATTGCCACGAGCAACGCACAAGGTCGCTTCATCGATCATTTTGGCTTCGTCTGGAATAGTCACAGTAAGGTTATCAAGGTGACCAGTCATGCGTGACGTCAGCTACGCGCAATTTTGCGTTTTTACATTATCGATCATATCAGCCTCACCAATTGCCATTTCGAAATCGTATTAAGTGAGCATTAACTTCAGGTCAATGTTGAATGTACTGTACCCTATATTTACGAGTGAGCTTCATAACGCGCGCGTACGTGTGCGTCAAAATTTCAAAATGCTCAAAATCACTTTATGATTAAATTAGAGCACGTTTCAGGCCATTCAGAGCATTTCAAAATTTTGTTAAATTTTACACTACGCGCGAGCATTTTTACGCGTGCAAGAAAGCAGAAGCTGAAAATTTTGGTTTTTTTTACATGTTTTGGGTTCCTGACATTGTTTTCACAAAATTCCATTCTTTTCGGTCATCTTATGGCCAATAGCAATGTCGTACGTGCGCATCAAACATAGGGATCTTTGCGCGGATTTGTGCCGATATACAGTGAAAATATGCTAAAATAAGGCCTATTTTTAATCAGTTAAAGCTCCTTAAGATGAAAAGTGACCCCCAATTTTTATTACATATTCTGAATGCACATGAGCTGTATATATGATTTTATAGATCATAATGGCTGATCGGACATTGTGACGTCACCATATTGCCATCTGAATTAAAAAAACTGAATTTTATCTATGACGTCAATTTTGAAAATACGCATTTGAGTGTATCTCACTTATCTTTGATCGATCGTCTCCCAACTTTGAGTATGTAGCTGAGACAATTCTTTTTCATATATGTGACTTTTTCTTACATTTTGATGACGTCATCCTAATCAATTTTAATGATTTTTCAGACCCCCCCTCATCTTTCTTTCCTCAAAACATTAAAGACCTCATAATCATCTTAACCATTCGTCATATCTGAATCATATTTAAGGTCAAAGTTGAATGTCAGGTACCTCAATTTTGCGTTTACGCGTCTTAACATGCACGTACGCGTGCGTCAACATTTATATAGAATGTGCTTAAAATTATGCCTATCTTTAATCAGTTATAGCTCCTTAAGATGAGTGGTAACCTCAAATTTTATTACATATTCTGAAAGCACGTGAATTGTAGATATGATTTTGTAGATCATTATCGCTGATCGGACGTCATAATATTGTCATCTGAATTTTTTAAAACTGAATTTTCATTTGAACGTCTTTTTTTTTAAACCCATTTGAACGTATCTTGCTTATTCTTGATAGATTGTCTCAATCCTGTGAGTATGTTATAGCCGAGACATTTCTCTTTCGGAAGTGTCCCTTTATTTTTCATTTTTATCACAATATCATGGTCAAAAAGAATGAATTTTTGGAGTCCTTTTATCTCTCTTTCTTAAAAGATGTTAAAAATAATACAACAGAGAGCGGCAGATTGTATTTCAATCTATCAGACTGATATATAAGTTATATGAAGGGAAAATTTGTGTGGCATTACCAACCAACAGGCGGTTTTAAAAACACTTGACAATGTTTAATTTTGTGTGCCATTACCGTCCACGCACACATCCTGACATGCGCGTGCGTTAAAATTTGAAAATTCTCAATATCACTTTTCAGATAATTTAAAGGACGTTTCAGGTCATTTTCAGGTTTCCAAAACTTTCCATAATTAACGCGCCGGACCATTCATTTCCACTTGCTCAGCACGTAATGAAGCTGGAAATTACGTTTTGTTACATATTTTGTTTGGGTTCCTGACACTGTGTTCATATCAGGAGTCAACTCTTCGTGCCATTACCATGCTCAAAGGCGTCAAGACGTGCGCATACGCATGTGTAAATGTTTGAAAATTCTAAAAATTACTCTTTAAAAAAAAAAAAAAAACTAATTAAAGCATATTTTAACATATAAAACTTTTCAATCAGCACCGCGCGCGCATTCTGACGGTCAAAGAACAGCGGATCACCAAACTCATCCTCAGTGACGAGTTCAAATCTAGTTTTGGTTGATTTGACGTGGAGATAAAATAAAAACAACATGTAGTAAACAGATCATAATAACTATAGTCATCAAGATAATAAACAGCCCTCAAAATTAGGGATAAAGCATGCCGGCAAAAAATCGCAGATGTTAAAAAATTGACGCCAGTCATACGTCGGCATTTTCAAAAAGTTGTCAAGTACTAGGCCTAAACCTAGGCTAGTACTAAGTACTAGCCTACGTGCGCTTACGTGGACCATCGGATCCCCAGAGTGCACTGCCGAATGCCGACGTTAATTTTGAGGGCTGAATAAATGAATATGGCTGGGAAAAATAACAATAATAATAATAATATAAAGAAGAAACAATTTCTAAATTGTACGAAAACAAATCAAAT